TGATAATACAACCGTTCCGACAGAAATTTGGCCATGGGATTGATGTTGATTGTTCTTTTGACGAGTTCTAGCTTAGTGGTGAAAATGACAAGACTTACTGACGATGCAAGTGAAACGTTTTGGAATGTGCCAAGGCCACGGTCTGAATGATAATACCTACCATGGAGGAGGATTTTGGACAAGATGCGTCCAACTAAGTCGCCAGGACAACACGACCACTTCTAAAATGTTTATAAGTCGTTGTATATTGCAGCCAATTGAGTCAGTAATTTAATCACAATTCAAATTAAATTATTTATAAGCTATTTGACCTTGTTTTCGCAACTTGTTCAGATTAGCAAGAAGGTCTAGATGAACGCATCTTGTCCGGAATCCATAGTATGCATGATAATTTCCAGACTCGAACCATGGACTTAGTACATTCCCAGAAGTTTCACTTGTATCGTTAGTGAGCCTTGCCATTCTTAGCACCACAATACGACTCGACAAAGAGACAAGTAAAGTCGAACCTTTGACCAATTGTCTGTAAAACGGTCCACAGCTCGACTCTGGAAATGATTATGCATACTATGGACTCGGGACAAGGTACGTTCCCCTAGGTCTTCCTGTCAATATGACCAAACTGCGAAAACAACTTCTGTACAACGAAAGGAGACCGCGACCATACAAAAGGCCACACCATCCTGGTCTTCATACCTTCGATTGAGTTATTTAATTTAATTACCAGTCTATGTTTTGATTGTCTGATTTTAGAATAATATTTCAAAATAATAAATACCTATTGCACACAAATCGGAATTTCGGAGGTATCGTATCATCTAGTAGCATTATTCCAACTTTGCATTCTAGGCAAGCTGTAACGCCACGTGCTGCAGGAGAGTGTTCACAGGACGGATGAGCACAGGAAAAACAGCCGGAACCACAATGCATCGACTCAAACGGAGGATTCGAAAAACAATATGGACAAAATACCAGATTCTGCGTATAAAAGTATAGAAAAAGAAATATTTTTAGGCATTAGTATGAAAGAGATTAATAATGAAATTAGGAAAAGATCTACTACGAAAAATGTGTGGGTTAATAGTTGAATTAGGTCTTTACGCAAAAATCACAGCATAAAATACAGAGCACCTCAAGAAGTTCGGTATTACATTGAAATCCATTCGATTTCAATGCCTGATTATATAAGTAACAAGTTAAAATGAGTAATTTAAAGAAGCTCTACGTTGATACGAATTACAATGTATGCAAAAGGTATTGAGCAAGGTTATTTTTCATTGTATAAAACTGAACTTGTTTTCGCAACTAAGTCAAATTGTCAGGGAGATAAGATGACAGGGATATAGCAGAAGGATCTTATAAGGCAAAAGAGCGAATGTGATAAGCCCTAGGGAAGAAGGACTAGATAAGAATATGACAGATTCTGATCAACATTCTCAGCACAAGGGTGAAGGGGGTGAGAACGAAATCGTGGAGTGTGAAGGGCTTTCATAAATGTCGCTCAAAGCAGCACACCACACTACATATGAATAAGCACGGTATAAATTGTAACAGTGAAGGCGTGATAGGAGGATATAGAAAATGTGAATAGCCCAAAGCAGAAGGGGAGATACCACAACTGTTTAGCACACGTTTGGTCAAAGTATGGGCTTCACTTGTCTCTTTGATGAGTTGTTGTGTGGTGCTAAGAATAGCGAGACTCCCTGACGATGCCGGCAAAACGGCTGGGAATGTACCACGTCCACGGTCTGACTATAGAAAGGATCACCTATACAATGAACTCCGGACAAGGTCCGCTCCTGTCTTCCAACGAATATAACCAAGTTGCGAAAACAAGGTCAAACAACCTCTATACAACGAAAAGAGACAACGACCACACAAAAATCCACACCATCTTATTCTTCATATCTTCCATTTGACCAATTGTTTACTGAACAGTTGTGGTATCTCTCCTTCCGTCCTGGTGTATTCGCTTTTCCTATACCCTCATATTTTCACTTCACTTTTGCAATTTCCTTAGTACTTATTTAAATCTAGTCCAGGTGGGCTCTTTTAAGCGGATTTAGTGAGACCTAGTCATAGATACTTATCAATTCAGGTATTATGAAAATAAAATCATGGATAAGGAGGAAGACTAGCAATGGATGCTCCTGCTTTGAGCAAAAAATTGCGAGTTACTAAGAAAATGAAATATTCAGGTGATCACGAAGGTGAAGACGACACATTTTACCAGATTGCCAGGGAAACCCGAGGGTTGACAAACTGTATTGTCCATGAGGTTATTGCATAAAATGTAACAACTGTGAGCAGAAGTATATCGCTGAAGCAGGAATAAAAATCAACCTACGAACTAAGACTCTGTAAGAACATGGATATGGAAAGATCTGAAATAGCGGACGGGACATGAAATGCTGGCTCCATATAGTGAAAATAGAAATTTCGAGAAGCCATCGGTATCCTGAAATTTCATGAACAGGAGGTTGGAGGAAGGCAGAGTTAGTGATAATTTCGCCTATTGCTTAAGCAAACTCGGGAAAGATAAGGATACTGCAAGGCCAATGAAAAGGATCAAGGACCTGTCATTAGCTAGAGAAAAATGGATCGCGAGGAAGGTGGGGAAATTTCGGAAATCAAGCGATTAAATTCTCAGCCAGTGAGATCTGCTCGAAGAAACCAGTACAACATTGGGGGCCTGGTGGTCACTTGACTAGGACGGATAATCACAGCCTCCGCAGAAATCCGGCATTATGGCCAAAATATACTGAGATCCAATAGAAATCCAGCAAGCGACCTGGGATATGCGCCAAAATTAGCTAATGCTACACAGGTCTAATGCGTCCAACTAATCCGCCCTGACAACACGAGGAAGTTACAAAAACGAGTTGAACCCAATTCGAAATATGTTAAAATTGAGGAAAAGAAATCGCAAGGAGGCCACGAAAAAGAAATTGGAAAAAAAGAGAAAACATGTATAATGTGTGTATAAAGGTTACTCGAACCAAGTAGAGCAACTAAGAGATTTTAGGGATTGGCACATGAGAGACTTGGACACAGTAAAGTCATATACTTGGCATTATCGCTAGAAGCATATCATATCAGTGGGAAAATTCAACTACCAGACCCCCATCCTCTAAAACGAAAGTATGAATACAACTCATATACATGGTTTGAATAATTAAGATATAAATATATGAGACGAAATCATATGATTTGCCTTGTTCTTAAGAATGCAAGTGGAATAAGAATTTAGCTCGCTTGTAAGAACCAATGAACAAGAGTAAGTGCTTGTCGAGACACACGGTTTGATAATCGAGATTGAATAATTCTGAAAAAAGAACTTGTTTACTCTAAGTCGCTTAAGGTTATTGGAGGGATTATAGTTTAATTTCGCCTAACCTCGGCCCCAAAAAGGTTTTCTCGTTCTTACTGTCCTTCAATTTCGAAATTGCTTCTCTCGAGAGCGCTTCCTGCGAGATTAGAAACAGGATCATGGGCTTCGGTCTGCTCCATCACAATTTTTACACTCCGTTGCCACTTGACAACGATGTACTAGTTTCGAATTCCGTAGAGGGCGTTTATAAGGCCGTGGCTAGCTCGAAAGTACAGTCAATGCTGATACCTACTTGTTTCAAGGTGTAAAAACAACAAATTAGTCCTCGAATTATCTTATATGACCTAGTGATGCAAGTGTTGGTTTAACCTCATAATTGCAACATTGACGGGGCACAAGGAAAACCTTATGGAACACATTCAGTTCTGCGTTTTGTCATAGAAATTAACATAATTTTCAGCATCAGATTAAAGAATTGGTACATTCTCAAACGTTTCACCCTTATCGTCAGTATGAGATATTTTTTATTAAGATCGGGTGGCAGTTTGCCAGTGGCATGTATAACGAGTTGTAACTCTAACGATGGCGCATCATTGATTATATTGACTAAAATGCCAGAGAAATGTCTAGGAATGTACCAGATCAACGGTCTAATGCATAGGAATGGGTGTGCTCCACAAGATCTTCATATCGCTCCGACCAAGTTGCGAAAACGAAATCAAATTTAGCACTTTATACAGATAAAGACTGCGACTAAATCTGACGTCACATCATCTTTATCTTGATACTTGTAATGGGAGGAATAAAGTTGTTATCTAATTTGATAGATTATCGTTAAAGACAGTTGAAAAGGATTTAGGCAAAAAATGATGGATTAAACAAAATTACAGTGAAATTGTTTATGTTGCAAAAAATAATAAAAGAAGATATTGTATTGCGTATAGATAAATAACCCTGAAAATATGCTTTATGTTAAAAATGAATAAAACTTTAAACGAAATATGTTATATTAAGTGGGGCAGTCACAGTATTTATTTCAAACTTGAGGTATTTCATATATGTTTGCAGAGTAATGTAAAGCGTAAGGAATACGAATTTTCAATGATGGTTAAATAAAATATGCAAAAATATAGAGCAAAATAAAGTTAACGATTCATAGAGTTACGCAAAAAGCAAAGGCATTCTGATCAATAGATTGAAGCAAATACAAAACATTTATTGCGAATCGAAATTCCATTTCGAAAAAAAATTTGGCTGTGAAAAATTCGTCACTGGAAAGCAAATAAGGATTGCCGCGAGATGAAGACTGTTTGTTTGTACGAAGAGGTCCTCTGCTCACCATTTTGTAACCCTTTGAACAGAGTAAGAATCTATTCTTTACAAAATAACGCATCAATATATTAAACCAAAGAAAAGGTGGCCGGCTGCAACCGATGATTCGGTTGGCTACTTAATGTATATTCTACATGCTTAAAAATAGGTAAAGTTAATTCATGAACCATCTTGTCACGGGCCGGTGAGCCGAGGTATTCTTCGCACAGCCAAGCGGTCACAAGTCGCCGTCAGGTGAGGCCGACATACACAGTCCTTCCCCACGCCATTTTAAACGAAATGAAAGGTATGCTAACATCAAAGAAAATTTTTTTAATTTGTTGTGATATTATATAGTAAGCACAAAAACTGCTCTTAAATTTTTAGATATCATTACATATGCAAAAACCCTGGGAAAAAAGAATGTATAATAATTGAAGTTAAAACTTGTTGAATAATTGGCAGACAAGGGTCTTCGAGAAAAGTAAAAATGATGAATGGACGATCAGATAATGACTATAAATGGGCGGTAATAATGCCTTCATATTATTAAAAGGCTAGTCATACTAAGCTGATAAGAAGCTCAATACATGATAGTGTAATTACACTTTTAAAAATTAATATTTTTGTTGTAAGCATCATTAAATAATCTGGTTCCGAAGCGTCCATGTAACCACCGATTGGTCAATATTAATAGCCTAATTGATAGCTAGGTGAATCGAAAAATGTATTTAAAAATAATATTAATTTATTCTTAAAAATAATTGCGGCTGAGTCAAAAAAATTAAACTCTTTTCTTGAATTACGCAATCATATGTCTCGAAACCCTACTCACATTCGAATATACGCAATCATAGACTATAGATTTTAGCGCAACGTTATGAGCCCATGGATCATAATTTGTGTGCTTTATTGTGGAGACTTTCATTTCGTACGAAGGTGGATGAAAAGGAGAGTCTTAGGTATGAAGATCAAGATGGTGTGGCCTTTTGTGTATTCGCAGTCTCCTTTCGTTGTATAGAAGTTGTTTGACCTAGTTTTCGAAACTTGGTCATATTGGTAGGAAGACTTAGAGGAACGCACCTAGTCCGGAATCCATTGTATGCATCATCAT